TAACCCCAGCTGATGTCCTTATGGTATGATCTGCCAGCCCCATAAGGGAGGAAGCTGGGAGTCAGGGTGGGTGCAAGCACCCTTGCAGTGCCAGGTGCTACTCCCACTGCTCTCCTTTCCAAAATCCTGTGTAGCAGCATTAAAATTCTACTCCCCTGAAGGGATAAGGAGGGCTACCCTGCAGAGGGACAGAGAGAGAGAGTTTGTCCCAGTAGGGAGGGCTACCCTGCAGAGGACTACCCTGCAGCGGGACAGAGAAAGAGGATTTGTCCCAGTAGAGACATCATTTGCCCTGGGGGTGAGTGAAGCTGCTTTGGAGGCAGCCCTCTTTGAAGTGGGAGGAGTGATGTAACCCCAGCAGGGTTTAAATGAGAGGGACCTTAGCAAAAGCCTGGGAAGACTCCTGGCCTGGGTTTGCCTGAGAGGGCTTGTTTAAAAGAGGGAAGCAGTTTTTCCTGGGGAGAAGAACAAAAGGAGAAGAGAGGGGGTGAGAGACAGGGTGGAGGCCAGAAAAAGGACCTCACCATGGCCGTGCCACAGAGAGCCCCTGTTGGAGCCCTGCAGAAGTAACAGCAAGAGGCCGCACTGGAGAGAAAAACAGTGCATCCCTTCTTCCTCTTATCCCCCTTGGAGCCCTCCCCAGGCAGGCACAAGAGAGGACTTGCCCGTCAGGAGACTCGAAGTCTGGGAAGACCCTCCTGCAAGCCCCTGTGTGGCTGGGGAGGGGAGGGGGCACAGAACCAGGGGGAGACTGCCCTGGTTTGCACTGGCAGGGGAAGTGTAGGCTCAGTGTGCCAGAGGGTGCACTGGGCTAGAGGGGGCAGGGAGTTGTTTCAGCTCACCAGAAGCCCCAGGGAGGGGCCCAAGGAGGGGGTTGCATTTGCCGGGTGGTATGAGGCTCTGCTGGACAGAGGGAAACTGTTACAACCTGCAACCCAGACACTGCACCCTCTGTGCTAGGAGATATGGGGCAGGGCAGGAATAAGCTTTCAGGGATCGCAGGGGAGGAGCCACCGCCTGCTGCACTGAGGCCCCTGAAGCTTCTGCATGGGATGCCAGCAGCAGGGACTGCCCACAGCACCTGTGCCAGGGACACAGAAGCAGTCCCGCTCCCAAGCAACAGGCAGTGCACACAGGGTCCTCATAGTTGTAGACTGAGTGTTTAAATAAGTTCATGATGGTTTATTAGTTGGTGTATCAATTTATTTGTTTATTGATTCCTTATTTATCAGGGGTAATTGGTATGCCTTCCCCTGGTATAAAGTATCAGAGAAGCATTAACCCTTAAGCCACCATCGCCAGGTTATGTTGTGTAACATTATTTGTTTTATTGTATTAGTTATGTTATCTTGTAAATAATTAAATTCTGTAAATTCAAATATTATAAAAGCCTTAGTCTCTCTGTCCATAACACTGCACTCTAATTGGTTGTCTGAAACAACCAATCAGAGTGTTCCAGCAGCGTTCAAGACAGGAGGTGGCAGCAGTGGCACAGCGGCCCACTGCCACAACAGCAGGGACAGAGCAGCCAGAGCAGGGATGCGAGGCCAGCAGCTCTGTCCCCCCCACCCCCCACTCTACTCCCTGTAGGCAGCAGCGGCACAGGGTGCTGGCCAAGGGGGACAGAGGGGACAGCAGGGCAAGGTTCCCCCCCCCGCTCCTGGGAGACAGGGGTAGTTTTAAAATGGTCTGCAAGGTTGTTTTGATTGTAAGGGGAGGCTCTCCACTCAGGGACCCTGCAGCAGCTACCCAGGAACTACCCACCAGCTACTGGGTACTCCAGGATCCAACAATTCAGGTAAGGGCACAGGTAGCATCACGCCCAGGTTTATTATACCTGGATCCACCTATGCTTTTAGACAACCAAAAATAGTAATTTAAACAAGGAATGAATCTTGTAGCCTCTATTTTCTCTTCCCTTGTTTCATGCTTTTCCTCCATGACAGCCTATCATCCCATCTTGTCTGATTTCTTCAATTATCAGTATGCTAATGGTTCCTCAATTCTATTTCATCTCCACTAGCTGATCAGTTTTGTTCCTTTGTACTCACAGTAACATGCCACCAAGGATTCCCCTCCTCTTCTGTAGATCTGTCCATGGGATCATTCTTTTTAGTGTCAGAGGCTTCTCTTTTGTGGGCAAAGCCTCATTTTTGTTCTCCCTGCTCACTGGATGCCAAAGGTCACTGGCAGTTAGGCTTCTGTATAGTGAAGAAGCTCCATTCTTAATTAGGCTCAGCTGGTTGACTTCAGTCCATCAGATTGTTGAATGCTGGGAGTGCACTGGACTGGGGACTAGGCTGAGAGCACACTGGAGCCCTTCAATCATCTGATCAATGTTCCCAGCCTCAGAAGCTCACTGCCCACAAAACTCTTACGCTATTTTGTGGAATAATTTTGTGGCTTATTCCCTGTTTTATCACGCCACTGATTGCATGAATGTGTGGCTAGGTTACTATTTAAGACACAAGTAACTAGTTAATCACGTAATGTAAACGTAATGTAATAAATGGAATGTCTGCCAGGGTCCTGGTGGACAGCACACACCTCACGTCCTGCACAAAGCTGTATTTCAGTGACTGACAGCCCAGCCATTGCATATCCTCAGAGAACTGTACCTCACTGACTGGCATCATAAATCTCATACCCAGCATACTACAGTATTTCTATAACCATAGCAGAAACAGCATTTCCAATGTAGTGTGGTACATCACTGACTGCTGTCAGTCAGCAGTTTGGGTATCATGCTCTACATGGTGTGGTACCTCACTGTTCAGGAGCCCAAAACTCCCACCAGTGTGACACAGTACCTCACAAACTAACAGCACAGATCTCACATAAAATATAGCCTGGTTTGCATATCCATCAAAACATAGCACTTCCCTGACAAATGATGCATACTTTATACCCCACATATCATTCTTCCATACTAAACTACAGGATAATGCTCACATCCAGCACAGCCTGGTACTTCAATGACTGACAGCATGGATCTTGCATTCAAAATGGCACTGTCCCCCATAAACTGATAGCAGGCAGCATGACTCTCACATCTTCTACAGTGTGGCACCTCACTGTAGATCACCTCAAATCTAGCTTGGTTTCTCACTGACAAACAGCATTCTCACATCTGTCACAACCCAAGGGTGTGATTTTTGTTTGTGTGTTCTTCGGCACTGCTGAATTATTTCCCGCCACTTGTAGCTTTCTTTGCAGGGTGGATTTCTTCGTTGCAACACAGAAATGCACGTTGCAAGGAGTTCCCGCCATTTGTATTCAGATTTGTGCCCCACTATTGGCCAGTTCTAAATTATTCCTACGTGGCAGCTAGCGATTGGCTTGCTAGCCGTATAAGAGGCTTGAGCGGTTTCCACCCAAGTTGGAGGACTCCACGACCATCAGGAGGAGGAGAACTTCACGTCTCGTGAAGATCTCTAAGCGCTGTGGAGCCTATTGGACCCAGCGTGTATTTCAAGAAGGCTATAGGGGTCTGATTAGCCTCTCGCCTCTCCCCGTCGCCGCTTGATCCCTCGACGCACCCTTCCCTGCGCGCAAAGTTCCACGGAGCCTAGCAAACTTCTTGTGAGTGAATCCAGAGCTCTACCCGGGGTTCGAGTCCTGCAGTTTTTTTTTCTTCCCGTCGCCGAAACCCCATTGCGACGTACCCTTATGTTCTGCAGGTTCGAGTTTTTTGTTTTGTTTTGTAACCGCAACTCAAGCAAGTTTTCCTGCCTGCACCGCGACCATCTTCGGTGTAAGTAAAATAATCTTAAATCAACCACTAAGCATCCGTGCCTAATTCTAGCGTGCCGCCTGCCTTCCCCGACCCGGCGTGTCCGGGCTGCTGGCCACAGCCCGCCACGCGAAAAACGGGCCTCGGACCGCTCCCGGTCCGCACAACATCCAGAATAGTCTGTTACCCCAAAGATTAATTGCACAGCTCTCATACCCAACAGGATGCATACTGCTAACATGCAGCTCCCATCCAGCTTAGCATGCATGATAAGAGTACTCTCTGGATTTGTTCCCCAGCAGACTGTGCATAAAACACTACGACTTTCGTAATTCCTGGATGAAATGGCTGAATAATCCAATGACACTTAAAAGCAGGTATAGTAGGTGCCAGCTAATGCTGATTTCCAAGAATAGCTGACAATGAGCAACTATATCTTCTTCCCTAAAATAAATGTAATGAACATGAGCCTGCAGTGCGATGCTGCGGCTAGTAAAGCGACCAAAACGCTGGCTTGCATCCATAGATGCTTCTCAAGCAAATCCCGGGACGTCATTCTCCCCCTGTACTCGGCCTTAGTGAGGCCGCAGCTGGAGTACTGCGTCCAGTTTTGGGCTCCACAATTCAAAAAGGATGTGGAGAAGCTTGAGAGAGTCCAGAGAAGAGCCACGCGCACGATCAGAGGTCAGGGAAGCAGACCCTACGATGACAGGCTGAGAGCCCTGGGGCTCTTTAGCCTGGAAAAGCGCAGGCTCAGGGGTGATCTGTTGGCCACCTATAAGTTTATCAGGGGTGACCACCAGTATCTGGGGGAACGTTTGTTCACCAGAGCACCCCAAGGGATGATGACTAGGTCGAATGGTCATAAACTACTACAAGACCGTTTCAGGCTGGACATAAGGAAGAATTTCTTTACTGTCCGAGGCCCCAAGGTCTGGAACAGCCTGCCACCAGAGGTGGTTCAAGCGCCTACATTGAACACCTTCAAGAGCAAACTGGATGCTTATCTTGCTGGGATCCTATGACCCCAGCTGACTTCCTGCCCTTTGGGCAGGGGGCTGGACTCGATGATCTTCCGAGGTCCCTTCCAGCCCTAATGTCTATGAAATCTATGAAAATGTTTCCTTTCCTAATTAAATCGATCAGTCAAATCTCTATCTATTTACCTCCTCAACCCCTAATACATCTTTAAAACACAGCTGCATTTGGTGCTGTTTCTTGGCAGTTGCAACCCTCATGCAAACAGGAGAAAAGAAATTGCTTTTACCTTACACAGGTATGCTGACTTCCTGGTTCACTCCTTGTTAAAATGCTTGTTTAAACAGTTGTCTCCTCCTTGTCCCCCAGCATCCTGTAGCTTACCCTAAATGCCAGTAGATGAGAAGTGAGGAAGGGAAAAAGAACTGAATTTGGAAACAAAGACAGGAGTAGAGGGGAGGGAGAAGAGAAGATAAATTTCTTGCCAAGTCAAATGAAAGCCAGAAATACCAGATGCAAGAGGAGGAAGAGTTCGATGAAAGAAAAACAAAGTTCCCAGGCCTGCTGTGTTTATTTTTTAGCAGAAGGGATTGTTATGAAATTGTAGCATATGAAATTCTAACATATCTATCTAAAATTCTTCTAGCGTGTGTGCACTTGTGGTTTTTTGTATTTGGTATCTGCAACGCCTGGAAAAACGGTTCCTCTTGTTACAGTTAAAAGAGAGCGTGCAAATGCAGCACAACATTTGGAGCCATGCTGCCTTCCACATTTGCTCCATTTCTGCCAGTTAGCATTGCCTCTCTTAGAAGACTCCTTACCAATGGAAAATTCAACCTGTGAAGTGGCTTCTTCTGGCCACATTCTTTTGTGCCTATCACATGGACAACCCCTTTTTGGTGCACTCAGCTTTGCAGCCTGGGCCTTCGCAGTTTCTCCTGCTCTGAATATTTGAATAGTTTTTTTCTAGGGAGAAGTCTCCCTCACGCAATAGCCTTTCTTAGAATGCAATGTCTGCAATGCCACAAACAATCTCTCTCTATTCAGGGTAGATTTGATTTAAATCAAATAGATATAAATCATGATTTAAATCATGGACGTCTGATTTAATCACTGTTTTCTACAAAAAGTGCATTCCAGTTGTTTGATATAATCTTAACACATATTATTCACAACTCAGAGATAGACGTAGATTTCATTTTTAGAAGGTAGAAACTATACATTTTAAAACAGTGATTTTTTTTTTCTAATTAATTTTGGAGCTACATCAGAAAACAGAATTATAATTTGGTTAGTTTATTTACCAAAGCTAACTGAAGCAGATACTTGTGAAGTCATTGGGATGGAAACTATCTCCAATTCACTAAATTAAGCATGGATATTTAGGGGATATTTTTGCCACGCTGTATTAGGAGGACAACCATTACCAAAAACAACTGACATTTAAATTGTTTTATTTAACTAAAACAACAAGCTTATGTATTTGGGATTTTTTTTTCAACAACAAACATGTACAATTATTTTAACAAAACAAGCCTATGCATTTTTTTTAATTTTAACTATTTTAGTTATACATGTGAAATATATTTTTAACAAAAATTAAATAGATTATTTCAGTCAGATCAACATGAGAAACTTAAAATACTGGGTTATGCAGTAAACTCAGGCTTCACCTTCCTCTTCCTGTTTATTCATAGACTGGAAAAGCAAGACAAGCTTTCCTGCTTTTTTCAGTTCCCAAGCAATTTCTCAATTTAGAATGAATTAGTCCAAAGGAAGAAAATATTCTTTCTATACCTGCAGAAGAAGCTACTGCTATTAAAAGCGAAATTAGCACTTCAGTAGTCTTTGATGGATCCAGGTGCTTAAGTGGCTTCCACCAGTTCACTGGTGTCTTGTCTTTTCTTTAAAACCTCATCAGCAAACACATATTTCTTGAATGGTTCACCTTTAGCCCTGATTTTTTTTTATAGTTGGTATTATGGAGGGATGATTTAGAGAGAGGTAAGGGCTTGACTCTGTGAACACAAACTTGCAGAGAGACATTACGGCTGATGGGTAGACTGATGGTCAGGTCTGTTATCCTTCATCCCCATATACTGCCGTCTGTTATCCTTCATCCCCATATACTGCTGTTAACAAGGATATTATTTCTGGAGACACAAATCCACAGTTTGAGAACTGAAACTAAGCATCACAGAGATGTTTAATGGGATCTTCTAGACTGAGCACTGAGCCCCATTGGGAAGAGTGGTTTTCTGTAATCTTTACTAATCTACAGAGGAGCTTCTGGGAACCCCATAAGATTGGGCCCCTAAAATAGTCCATGGCCTGTTGTGACCTATTTATAAAACTTTTCTAAAAAGGTTACATGAATATATTGTCTCAAATAGTATATAATTAGAAGTTTTAATATCTATTCCATGATAATATCTTTGAGTTTTAACATATAGGTTTGGGTTAAAACATCTTAACAAAAAAATCAATATGATTAAATCAAAAAATCTGATTTAAATAAAAAACCTATTTTTATTTTAAAAAATCATTGATTTTTACCCACCCTGTCTCTAACTGGGAATTCTGTCAAGTTCCCAAAAGTGTAGTTCTTACTCAGTCTCTTTAGTTCAGAAACATATGGATCTATACTTCCTCCTGTTGGTTGTCAGCACATAAAAAATCTGTGTTCCAAGTGTCTCATTCTTGACAGACAGTACTCAAATTGGAACAGCATTGCACTTAACTGCATATTTTGGCCTTCTTCAAAGGCAAAGGTGTTACAAACAGCCAAAGCTTCTTCCTCTACAATATTCAAGAAGACTGAGGATTGACTTTGTCATTTTTCTCTTCTGCCCCTATGACTGCTAGGTGCCACTCAAACTTTGTTTTAATGCCCTCCAATTTTGTGCTATATTGCCTGACATCAGAAGGGCAGGTGCAGGTTGCAAAACTTCCATGACTAATTGTCCTTTGACTTAGACCGTAACTGTGCAGGCAGATCACTTAGAGTAGTGCTTGTCCTTCAACATGGCCATGTTGCTCTGCTTACTCTGTTTCCAACTTCTGTTGGAACTCAAATTCTTACAAGTTCTTTCTCATCTGCTACTTCTGAATGTAGTGATCTGATTTGCTCCTGATCAGCCAGGCAGCAGGGGATCTGAGATTGCTTCCTTGCCCCTGGGAGCTGCCTGCTGCCGAGATAGGCTCTGCCACCCCAGCCTGGATGGGGACAATGTCCCTCTGCCCCAGCAGCAGGGAGCTCCCAGACCTCGCTCAGCGATCATGAAGCAGAGGCTGGGAGCTCCCTGCTGCGGCGGCAATGGGACATTGTCCCTACTGAGGCTGTGGTGGCAGAGCTCAGCCTGGCAGCAGGCAGCTCCCAGGGTCAGGGAGCAATCTCCTAGCCCCTGCTCCATGATCACAGAACTGGAGCCAGGAGCTCCCTGCACAGGGAGAGTTCCCTGCCCAGCCTGGAGCTGGCTAGGACCTGCCCCAGATTGGGACAGTTCCTGGCCAGCCCCAGGCTGCATGGGGAATTCTGCACATGCAACCCAGAGCTGGCTAAGGATTATGCCATTTCAGGCAGTTCCCAGCCAGCTCTAGGGCTCATGTGACCAGGGCTGGCCAGGAACTGTCCTGATCTGGAACAGGTCCCAGCCCCACAACCTCTTCCCAGCCTTGTGTCCCAATCGGGTGATCAAGGCACAGGGCTTGGAAACATCTGCAGGGGAGGGGCAGGTCCTAGCCCCCTGCCCTGATCCACTGGTGGGGCAGCTAGCCCCTGATTGTCTCCTGGCCACATGCTCCCTGCCAGCTCCTGGGCTAACACCCAGAGGGAGTCTAGATCTCCCTTGGCTGCTGGTGGGGTGGGGTGGGGTTGTGGGGGGAAGAGAGGACGTAGCAGCGGGGGAAACCACTCTCTGGGCTGCTCCCATTGGGAGAAAAACCTTGAGCTAACTGAGTTAGTTCTAAGTGGCAGCAACTACCCAAACATGTACTTATGACTGCATGCTTCTGCCTCATCCATCCCCTGATGCACTGCAGAGATATGACTGTTTTGCTTCAATCCTCTGATGCAGAGAGTAGGGAAGAAAAAGTCATCTTAGCTCTACCCTTCTGACAACTGTGCTAGCAATGTACCAACCCCAGACGAGCCTGCTCCATAAGGAAAAGTGCTGTTGTGGTTGCTAGTTCATTCTTCTTGTAAGGATCCTTTTTTTCTTAAATGAGTTCTGGGCTCTATGTATCTGTGCTAGCTTGCTCTCACTAAAATATCTTGCCCATCCACAATTCTTCTTGGCTCCAGCATAAAACATGAAATATTTTATTAAAGTCTCATTGCTTTAAGGAAAGAGGCATTAGGCTGCAATGAATTCAGAGACCTTGTTTAAAAATCACTAGCTAGCTGAATGTTTGGGGCTGCTGGTGGAATTTGCTTGCATGGATCATTTCCTGCAAAAATGTACAAAAAATTACACTCAAAAACAATCTTTAATGAGCACACTTCACAGGATAATCTGCTGTTTTGTCTGCTTTCCTTTTTCCCCATCCCACTTTCCAGCATGGGCAGATCTAAGATTTTGAAGAGGGGGATGTATTTGGTGTATATCACATATAACATAATGCATGTTTTTTCTCCAGTTCAAAAGAAACTAAAAGCTTTACTAGTGGCCTAGGGCTATATTGTTCAGTTTTTAAGGTTGAAGCAAAAACAAATATAACATTATTGGAATGTGCATTAATTAGCTGTATTGTATATCAAATATAAAAAGCAAAATGAACTGGGCAAATAACTATCAAAAGGTGATACTTAATTAGCTCGGCAGTCATTAAAATTAAATGTACAGCTCTTATTTATATTTATAAAACAACATCTCACCTTCTCGAGTGTCTTGACAGTGCAGTCATCACTTCACTGCCACTTATTTCCACTCCTGAGTTATTAAACATAACCAGTCCATTGTTAGTTTGCCCTTTATTTTTCTATCTATTCCAGCCCAAACTATGGGACTCCATATTAAAGTGTCATGGAAATGCCAACAGTAAAACAATGCTGACCTTGTAATAACTCTCAGCTTTAAGAACAGTAAATAGCAACACAACTGAGTGAAATCTATAAGGTGTGGGGCTGCAACAAACATTTTTCCATGTGGAGCGTATTGGGCTGCAGAGAGACATGGTTCTGAGACACCTTAAATTTTAGGCTGCTGCCTTTGAAGACAATCCAGAGCCCTGACTGCCACTGCTTTTTGTTTGGGGGAGGGGGGACAAGAGGGAAAGGGAGAAAGGGGCCTGGCTGATTGGACACCTGGAAAAACTGTGCAAACAGAGCTTTGTAGATGATATCCAGTCTTCACCCCTCCTTCCCAGGAATATTCATAGCTATATCTATGTGGTAGCAATGGAGTGACACTGTAGCAGTGACAGTCCATGAAATATGAGAGGCAAGGATTTTTGTGGGTGGTATCTTTTATTGGACTAACTGCATGGTTGGGCTAGTTTTAGACAAACTTTTGAATGTGTGGCATTTTTTATCACGTCTGAGGAAGAAGTAGACGTAAGAGTAGCTAACAAACAGGAAAACTGCAGAATAAAGGATAGTTTGATTATAATCTGCTTGATTCCTGCTAATGTCTCTTCTCTCTATAGGCATTAATGACCCATCCCCTTTTTAACTGTCTTGATCTCCCACTAATCAAGCCATCCTTTCTTTGGGTAATGTCTCCAGTTTCAGAGCCCTGCAAGCTGTTTTTGGGATCAGCTGCATGGAGGGTTGGGGGTTAATTCTGATTGTGATAATTTGCCTGCTCTTCCCCCCACCTGTCTGTTTCTTACCTATAACTAGATTAGCAGAAGAGGGAGTTTGGAGTGGAATAGGGAAAGGGTAGCAAGTGAAACATCACCAGAAATGGAATTAACCCTTTGCTGGGAGGAGAGCTAGGACTGGATTTAAAGGTGAAGAGGAGGAATGGCTCCTCCATTACGGCAGTGACACCAGTGGTATGAAGGGGAAAAGGGGCCCTAACAGCACCCTGGGATATTTTAAAGCACCCAAGGGACTCTTGCATCTCCTTCTCTCCCTGCCTGCTGGCCTGCAGAGGTTAGGGGCATATATACACCCTAAACTCCTGGGCACTAGGCCTGGTATACCAATGGAGGGAAATTCCAATTTAAATCTCCCTGCCTGCCCCCACTTCCCAGTACTCCCTCTCACTAGCTCACTCCTTCCCCTCCAGCCTCTGCCTCCCCACATAAACAGGACTCCCAGCCTTGTCCCCAGTGCACTGACCTCCCTTAGTGCTGCCTGAATAGGAAAATTTCTGCCGCGGCCTGGCAGTTGGTTTAAAACTTTAAGTGGAGCAGAAATCCCTTCAACTGCTTCACTATACCACCTTGGATCTGCCACAGCTTCCCAGCTGTATCTACAGACATCAGTGGGAGCAGCTTATTATACAAAAATTCTATGTGCAGGCCTTCCATGTACATTCTTTTAATAGTTGTACATTTTGTTCCCTAGCTCATCCTTAGTTACAGTGTGTGTGCTCAGATGATGTTTTCTCTTGTTCCAGATTGTTCAGATATGGTTTAGGCATGCAGAGCTGTCTAATGAAATAATCCTAATCTAATGCAAAATCCTTCAGTTTATAAAACAGTAGGGAACTTGCCTATGAAACTAATTTGTCAATTTGAGGCCAACTCACACTGCAGGCTGACTTTCACAGGAATGTCTTGTTGCTTCCAAGGTCCTACAGTGCAGTTCATATAAACATGCAGCAGCTATTCAGTGAGTGTAAAGTCTGTGTCCTTTATCCATACTCTCAGCCAGGCAATCAGACAACAGGGATAGTGCACCCTAAATACAAATACAAAGTGCTTTTCTATTTTATTCTTTTCATACATTAGAAGTGCTTACATACAATTTGATTAATGATCTTTATAATTACAACAATCCTACATACCTTTCCTATATAGCAGCGTGGACAATTATTCAGCTGGAGGGGCAGTTTATGAGTTTTGGTGAGCTGTCGAGCACTGCATGGGTAGCCCCGTCCCTTGACAGATCCCCTACCCTTGGTCACCATCTCGGGACCAGAAGTCCTGCCCCCTAGTCCCTGACCTTTGCCACCAGAACTCCCTCCCCTTGCCCTGGAACTACTCCTATCAGCAAGGGGGTTGCCACCTAGGAACCAGAAAAAAAACAAACTCTATTCTAAAAATCAAACATCTACTACAGGCTACATCAGGGGTGTCCAACCTTTTTGAATGTGGGGCCGGATCATGAACTTTTTATCACCCAGTGGACCCGCGAGCTACATTCAAAGACCTCACAGGAAGCGGTATCACATCAGGAAGTGATGTCACGTGACCTTTGACACCAATGAAGTTGCAGGAAGTGACAATGAAATGGGTTAACCATTTCAAAACTCTCTCTCTATAGCATCCACTTCTGCCACTGTTCGGGACAAGATACTGAGCTAGATGGACCATTGATTGGGCTGACCAAGCATGGCACTTTTTATGCTCTTATGTTCGTTAGCTGAGCTTCCAAACTATGGCTGAGATTTGCAAAAAGGGGTAGATAGGCATGTTACAAAGTTGTCATAAAAGATTTGGAGCCCTCTAAATCCCATTCATTTTAATGGAAGTTGGCCTTTTGACTCAGCTTTGAAAATCTCAGCCCAAGTAAGTAAAAATATATTTTGCATTTCTATGCAGTCCATCTATGTGGAGCTCTCCAAGCATTTTACAAACATTAAATGAACCTCATGACATCCCTGCTTTTCAGAAGAAATGTGGTGGTGAGGACATTCTGGGAACATCTCTCACTCTCTGTGTGTGATCTGCTTCTACTGTCCTTGGACCACCCTAGAAGGGCCCTTAATACCTCATTTCCAGTTCAGAACAGGTAAAGTGTAAGTGGGTAGGAAGGGCTTATTTTTTGGCAGCAGGTTTGAGTGGCTTGAAGCTAGTGAAGATGTACCCACAATTAGTCACTGACCAGAGTGGGAACACAGCTGTCCTCATTAACATGGCTCCAAGGTCCTACACTGTCTCTGCCTACATGTTGTTCTCATGTCCTCTTGCTTTCCTAAATCTCATGAGAGTAGAGGATTCCCATCATGCCTCCTGGACTGCTGTCACCAGATAGCTGTCCTGGTTCTAAGGTTGTGCTTCTGACTCTTTCATGGCCTCTTTTAGGGTGCACACGGCTACAACCTAAACCCCTGCACTTAGAACTCCGGCTTTTCCTTCCCGCCCATTTTGCTGAATTGTGATTATTCCCACAGGGCATGAATTTAGTTCAGTGGCTATGATTCTGCTTTCTCATACAGAGGCAATGACTCTCACAAAGTATGGCATATTTTAGTAGGATAAAAACATTTTGAAGGCCACACAGAAAGCAATAAGCAGTCTTTACTCACATGAGCTTACCAGGTATCAACCACCTGCTACTTGGGTTCCTGGCAGGTATAGACACAAATTTATTAGCACGTTGTTCCAGAGTCTCTGTGCCATAGCCTACATCAGGTCTTAGATCTAAGGAGCCTGACCCCTCCCCAGCCATAGGCTTGTCAAAGTAT